CCCCAAAAAACTGACAGACCCATATATATATATATACACATGCTGTATACAGTCTGTTATACATGCGAACCAAAGTCTTAGTTTGCCCCATCCATCATTCATGCGAAAACAGTGACTATGTGTGTAGAGCCTTCGAGATGAACACTACCAAAAAATGGTATCGAAGATGAAGATGATGGTGATGACTAGCATTGATTGTGGTTTCATCTTACAGTTGTGGCTCTGAGTTAACCAAACCAGCACGATGTTGATACATATGCAGAATTACCTACATATCTGTGCAGATGCGCTCACGCACTGGGCCTTCGCCTACGTCTATGTGGAAGTGGAGCGTCTGCACCACAAAGGCCGCAAAGATCGAAGCTCCCAGGTTTGAGAACCAGTAACCCGCCAGTGCAGCGCGGAAGACGCAGCTGCCTCCACAGCAGAGGATTCAGAAAGGCGCGGCGTGAGGGTTCTGAAGGTTGCAAAAGACTTCTATCAGGGTCCTTCCCCGAAAGCGGACTTATTAAGTCGGTGCAATGTTTGTACTTGAGAAAAGTATGCTGTTTCACTCTATATTTATTATCCTGAGCAAGAACTCAAACCGACTCAAAGCCATCCCAGGTCCCCTCCTTTCAGGAACCTTCTCTTTAACTGCCTCTAAACCCGAAACCCAAAGTCTGCAGGGTCTGCGGGGAACCCGAGACCGACTCTTGCACTTAAACTAGGTTCCCCAGTAACCCCTTAATAATAAGGGTACCCTTTTTCCTACTGTTTGGTTTTGGTTACGGGAAGCCAAAAGGAAAAGGGCAAAAGGGTACTACTGGGGAACCTAGTAAACCCTAAACCCTAAAGCAGCCGGCTTGCTATCGTCTGTGCAAATTGTGGCCATCCAGCCCACAATCATGAGAACAGCAGAGGCGATCATCACGGCGTAGGCGAACCTGTGAGGAAGGCGAGTGAATACTGGTTTAGCGGTTTAGCGTTTTAGGGGTTTAGGGGTTTAGGGGTTTAGGGGTTTAGGGGTTAGGGGTTTAGGGGTTTAGGGGTTTAGGGGTTAGGGGTTTAGGGCCTTAGGGTTCCAAGGGGTTAAGGGTTTAGGGGTTTAGGGTTTAGGGGCTGTCTAAATCGAAACCCCAAAAGCCTTAAACCCTACACTCAAAGCCCTACTGCCCAAAACCCTAAGCCTGACGCGCACCCCGTACCCTAAACAGCTTTAGGGTATGTTGTTTGACTTGAAGCTCATTTCATGATCCGGATCTTACACTGCTAAACATCTATATCTAATATCCTCTATTGTGGCTACTGGGCTCAGTATAAGTTTAAGGCGCTTATCGGCTTTATTGCAGGGTGCCCCTACACCCTAAACTCTACACCCTAAACCCTAAACCTTAAAACCTTAAAACCCTAAACCTTAAACCCTAAACCCTAAAGCCTAAACCTTCAACCCTAAACCCTAAAACCTTAAACCACAGGCTCAGGGTCCGAGCTCCTAGGCTGAAGAATGCACCGTTAGAACGAAGGGGGCCCTACTGTGGATGATCTATATAAACCCTCTGCAGTACCTTGAGGATCCTAAACTATGTGAATTATGGTATGCTCCTGATTAGCTATGGGTACCCTAGACCCTACTGTTCATGATAGAAATCCTGCATTACCTTGAGGATCCTAAACTACGGGAACTATGGTATGTCCCTTATTATGGGTAACGCAGGATTTACATCATCAACCGTAGGACTTTCGTCTCCAATAGCCGAGGCGTCAAAAAGCTCTCTAACCTTTGTATCATAGACCAAGTATATAAAGCCAAAACGTTTGAAGTTCTCCCGTAGACCGAGTAAGAGGAGAAGCCCTAAACCTTAAAACCTAGAAACCTGTACTCCTTGACCGAAGCGCTTTGGAGTCTTTGGGCATGCGGACTTCTACGACAACGATCTTTATGCACAGCGGAGCATGGGGTTTTAGGGTTTAGGGTTTAAGTAATGAAACAATGTAAACATAAGACCGGATAGAGACCAAGTATTCCTTCAAAAAGGGTGGAAGCAACATGTGCAAGCACCCTCCTCCTTAACTAATGGGAAAGTGGGGATCCTCAACCACGGTTTTGCTCCGTCCATCCATGCTGTCCCAGGAGCAAGCTCACAAGGTAAGGGTAGGCGATCAGCGGACACATGTCCTGTGGACTAGCAGAAAAGCACTCTCGCTTCAAGAGTCTAGTGGTTGGGGCTTAGGGCTTAGGAAGTTTAGGACTCAGAAAGACCCGCACAGACCGGTGGTGATCTTGACATACACCAGACAAGTTTGATTCTCAGTGCCGCAGCTACAAGTGTAAGTACGAGTATCAGGTCATTGCCAGCATCGACATGGCATGGTAGTTGCCGTGCGTAAGGTTTCATGCAAGTTGTGTTCTACCCGAGCTCACAAACCACGGGCAAAGATGACGCCAAACAGCGCCTAAACCCTGAGCTCTTACACCAAATTTCAAACCACAATCGGCCTGAGAGAATGTTGCACGGCCTGAACCAATAAGGAACCTATGAGTGCTTTGTGCTCTCGATATGCTTTTTATATAGTTTGCCTGTATTGTTTCGATATGTTTCTCACTCGTTGGCTTGCGTGTGCGGAATTTTTGCGGAGTTTCATGCAGTCATTTATCGTCTCAGGCCTGTTGTCTCCTGAAGCTGGTTTTCGGCTCGATGTCATGCGTGAAATCCATCAGGTGTTGGGCGCCTTCGCCTTCTGAAACCCCAGCTCCAGATACAACACTGGCATTTTAGGGGATAGAATACATCACACCTCAAGATCCTTTTCTAATTGCTCAGTGAATTCCATTTCACAAAATGTTAGGGGATTGGGGTTTAGGCTTTAGGGGTTGAAGTCCTTGCCAATGGCTCCATGAGTGGTATTGGCAGTTATTCCGCCATCAAACAGCAATGCCAAAGCGTCCATACATGCTACAAGGCGCACACCAAAGCTACAAGTGAACCATGAAAGAACCTTCCAACAAAACCGTTTGTTCATGTCCACTGCCACGTCACAGCGCCCCGAAACCTTATTCCTTATAAGCCCTTATGGACCTATAGAGCTTTATAAAATCCCCAAGCCCTAAGCCCTCCTTCAAAGGTTACCTACTCTACTAACTCCCTCTGGGCCCCGGTACCTGCGGCACATTCTCGAAGATCCAGCTGGGGCACTCAACGACCCCATCGACGTTGACGGCAATCACCTCTGGCTTCGGCCAGAGTTTCGCAGTTCGCCAGGGCTTTTGTCGGGTTTGATACACTCCCTAAACCCTAAACCCTAAACCCTAATCCCTAAACCCTAAACCCTAATCCCTAAACCCCTAAACCTTAAGGTTCTCTCTAAGGAGGGTCATACAAGCTTGCCAAGCCTCCGGGTTCCCAAAAAATTCGCCCGCCTGATTCGATCTCATACCATGTCGGGTCCATGTTACGGTGCCTCGTGCATTTTTGTTCTTGCGAACCTCCCCTGAATTACTAGAAGGGGCCTTAAGAACTAGAATAGGATACATCATGGCATATTTACAGCAAGGAACCCTAAGAAAAGATATTGGTACATATTCTGGTTTCTACATTCCCCTGAAGCAGCCAACTCCGAAGAGAAAACCGGAAAGCATAAGATGCTCCAAGGCACAGTCAGCATGTCTGGATTCCTGGGTGTTCTTCAGCACTTGTAGAGGCAAAAATAGACATTACCAAAAAAAGAATTGCCAGTGTGCCGCCTAGAGTCGTGACCTCGTAGTAAACAACATCTCCTGACACAGAACAGCTTCCTTCAGAAGCGCCAGTACTTGGCGGTGTTCTTACGCCGATTGATATGAGTTTACCCCTAAGCTCCTTAGTAGTTCCTTTTTGGGATGACCTTATAGGATCCTACAGTAAATATAAGCCACCAAAGGAACTTTAACCCTAAACCGCCTAAACCCTAAACCCTAAACCGAGCACATTGAAATGAGTTTGGAGTTCGGGGCTGCAGGATTGAGGATCGAGTTTGAATTGGGGCCCAGGGTTCAGCTCAAACCCAACATGCGAAATACGGTTTAGGGTTTAGGGATCAAGTACATGCCGTCATATTACTGCTTTCTGGCGTTGAGGCTAGTTGGATGGTGCACCCAAGCTTGCAAAGCCAGGCACTACAGAGGCCTTATAATGAGAACAAGGCTTTGGTGTATAACAAACTGTAATTATGATAAGGAGCCCTCACAATGGTATTGGTCATTATTTAAGACCCTACATTATATCTACAAGCACCCCGACTCCTGCAAGCGCATTGCTGCAACAGCCTGCAGCCCCAAAAAGGGAAGGAGCCATATCAGGAGGTGCCCACCGCAAAAAACACCCTCTCTTTTTTTGTAGAAACTTCCTTTTCCAAGGTCATCGCCCACAGAAGCACCCGCATGACGCCATTCTGGGCATCGAAACTCTGCAGAAGGGCTCGAGTCAGCCGATGCTGCGTCATGCGAGGCGTTGCAAGCCAAGCCCCATAGCCTAAAACCCGAACCCCCCCCCCAAAAAAAAAAAAAAATATTTTCAAGGCAAGTTCTAAATCCCCAAACCCCCAAACCCGAAAACTTCTGAACCCCAAAGACCTGCTTGAAACCCGGCCGACGTCCTTCGTGAATAGTGCCGCAGTGGGCGAGAGCCCTTGCGCAGCCACCTGACACTTTTATAGTCAATTCAGAGAGGCTGTCGACTCAGAAGGGTAGGCTAGAGCTTCGGAATCCTAGTCGTTTCCAGGGGTTTACAGTTTAGGGGTTTAGGGGTTTTGGGGGGTTTGGGGGGGTTTAGGGGTTTAGGGTTTAGGGTTTTGGGCTTGTCTTGCAGAATAGGGTGCTCCGGCCCATTCTAGCGGGGGGAGGTTGGAGGGGGTTTCGGCCTCACAGCTGCTGGGACTTCTTCACTGCTTGTTGCAAACCCTGAACCCTAAACCCTAACCCCTAACACCCTAAACTCCTAAACCC